GTCACCGGGGCCTCACCCTGGAGCCAGGCCTGGGGTGGGTGCTCGCCAGCGAGCGCCTGGTGGCCGGGCCTCCCCCCACGGGGCTCGGCCGGGTTCAGCCCGAAGGAGCGACGTGGGGCCGTCCTCATGTGGGCCACCACCCGCAGGAGGATCTGGGACATCATGGGGGGCCTGAGCTTGTGCGGGAGGTTGAGCGTTACCGACTAGATATAGTCGGCCTCACCTCCAGCACAGTTTGGGCTCTGGAACCCAACTCCTTGAGAGGGGCTGGACTCTCCATTTCTCTGGCGTTGGCCGCGGGGAGCGGCGGCGGCTGGTGTGGGGGGTGGGGCTGGGGGGTGGGTGTGGGGGGGTGGCTGGGTGGGGTGGGTGTGTGGGGGGGGGGCTGTGTGGGGGGTGGGGCTGGTGGGGGGGGTGGGGTGTGGGGGGGGTGGGGCGGTGGGGGGTGGGGCTGGTGTGTGGGGGGGGGGGGGGTGGGGGGGGTGGGGCTGGTGTGGGCTCATTGCCCCACAGCTCAGTCGCTGTGTGTTGGAGTTCACCCCGGTGAACGAGAGGGTTGCGTCCCTGCGCCTTCGGGTCGGGGACAGGTCTCTCACTGTGGTGTCGGCCTACGGGCCGAACAGCAGTGCAGAGTACTCGAGTACCCGGCCTTCTTGGAGTCCTTGGGAGGGGTACTAGACAGTGCACCGACCGGGGACTCCGTTGTTCTCCTGGGGGACTTCAACGCCCACGTGGGCAACGACAGTGACACTTGGAGAGGGGTGATTGGGAGGAACGGCCTCCCCGATCTGAACCCGAGTGGTGTTTTGTTATTGGACTTCTGTGCTAGTCACAGTTTGTCCATAACAAACACCATGTTCGAGCACAAGGTCCATAAGTGCACGTGGCACCAGGACACCCTAGGCCGGAGGTCGATGATCGACTTTGTAGTCGTGTCATCTGATCTCCGGCCGCGTGTCTTGGACACTCGGGTGAAGAGAGGGGCTGAGCTGTCAACTGATCACCACCTGGTTGTGAGTTGGGTTCGCTGGCGGAGGAGGAAGCCGGAAAGACCTGGCAGGCCCAAGCGTGTAGTGAGGGTCTGTTGGGAACGTCTGGCGGAGCCTCTGTCAGAGGGACCTTCAACTCGCACCTCCGGGAGGACTTCTCACAGATTCCAGGGGAGGCTGGAGATATGGAGTCCGAGTGGGCTTCATTCTCGGCCTCTATTGTCAATGCAGCTGCTCGGAGCTGTGGGCGTAAGGTCTGTGGTGCCTGTCGCGGCGGCAATCCCCAGAACCCGGTGGTGGACACCGGAAGTAAGGGATGCTGTCAAGCTGAAGAAGGAGTCCTATCGGGCCTTGCTGGCTCGGGGGACTCCTGAGGCAGCTGACGGGTACCGGCGGGCCAAGCGTGCTGCAGCCCGTGTGGTCGTGGAGGCAAAAACTCTGAGCTGGGAGGAGTTCGGGGAGGCCATGGAGAAGGACTATCGGACGGCCTCAAAGAGATTCTGGCAAACCGTCCGGCGCCTCAGGAGGGGAAAGCAGTTCTTCACCAACACTGTTTACAGTGCGGGGGGAGAGCTGCTGACCTCGACTGGGGACGTTGTCCGGCGGTGGAAGGAAAACTTTGAGGATCTCCTCAATCCCACCGTCACGTCTTCCGAGGAGGAGGCCGAGGCTGGGGACTCGGAGGCGGACTCATCCATCACCCTGGCTGAAGTCACTGAGGTGGTTAAAGCTCCTTGGTGGCAAGGCTCCGGGGGTTGGATGAGATCCGTCCTGAGTACCTTAAGTCTCTGGATGTTGTGGGTCTTGGCTGACACGCCTCTTCAACATCGCGTGGCGGTCGGGGACAGAACCTCTGGACTGGCAAACCGGGGTGGTGGTCCCTCTGTATAAGAAGGGGGACCGGAGGGTGTGTTCCAACTATAGGGGGATCACACTCCTCAGCCTTCCCGGTCTATGCCAGGGACTGGAGAGGAGAATCCGGCCGATAGTCGAACCTCGGATTCAGGAGGAGCAGTGTGGTTTTCGTCCTGGCCGTGGAACACTGGACCAGCTCTACACTCTCCATCGGTGCTCGAGGTTCATGGGAGTTTGCCCAACCAGTCCACATGTGTTTTCGACCGTGTCCCTCGTGGTGTCCTGTGGGGGGTGCTCTGGGAGTCTGGGGTCCGGGGCCCTTTGCTAAGGGCTGTCCGGTCCCTGTATGACCGGAGCAGGAGCTGTGTTCGTTGCCGGCAGTAAGTCAGACCTGTTCCCGGTGCATGTTGGACTCCGACAGGGCTGCACCTGTCACCGGTTCTGTTCATTGTGTTTATGGACAGAGGTTCTGGGCACAGTCAGGGGCCGGAGGGTCCGGTTTGGGGACCACAGGATCATCTCTGCTGTTTGCAGATGATGTTGTCCTGTTGGCTTCATCGAACCAGGACCTGCAGCACTGGGGCGGTTTGCAGCCGAGTGTGAAGCGGCTGGGATGAAGATCAGCTCTTCTAAGTCTGAGGCCGTGGTTCTTGACCGGAAAAAGGCGTCTTGCCCTCTCCGGGTGGGTGGAGAGTCTCTGCCTCAAGTGGAGGAGTTCAAGTATCTCGGGGTCTTGTTCACGAGTGAGGGGAGGACGGAACGTGAGATTGACAGGCGGATCGGTGCAGCTTCGGCAGTGATGCGGTCGCTGTATCGGTCGTTGTGGTGAAGAGGAGCTGAGTCGAAAGGTGAAGCTCTCGATTTACCGGTCAGTCTTCGTTCCTACTCTCACCTCTGGTCATGAGCTCTGGGTAATGACCGAAAGGACGAGATCGCGGATACAAGCGCTCGAAATGAGTTTCCTCTGCAGGGTGGCTGGGCGTCTCCCTTAGAGACAGAGTGAGGAGCTCAGTCACACGGGAGGAGCTCGGAGTAGAGCCGCTGCTCCTCCACGTGGAGAGGAGCATCTGAGGGGAGGACGTCTGTTCTGATGTCTCCTGGACGTCTCCCTCAGGAGGTGTTCATGTCCCACCGGGAGGAGGTCCCGGGGAAGACCCAGGACACACTGGAGGGACTATGTCTCTGGACTGGACTGGGAACACCTCAGGTCCCACTGGAGGAGCTGGAGGAAGTGTCTGGGGTGAAGGAAGTCTGGGAGTCCCTGTTTAGACTGTTGCCCCCGTAACCTGGCCCCGGATAAGCGGATGAAAACCGTTCTAAAAGCGAACCGTTGTAACGAGTGTCGTAGTACTGGAGACCAGCCTCGAGACCTTTTTTTTTTTTTTTTTTTTTTTGCGGTCTTGGTCTCGTCTTGGACTTTACCGCGTTTGGACTCGGTCTTGTCTCGGCCTCGAGGTCTGACACTCAACAAGTGATAAAATGGGGATAGATTTATAAAAACATTGATATAAATGAGCCAAAATAACTGTAGAAATGTAGAAAATGACAAAGATGGTCTTGATTTGGTCTCGATGGGGCGTGGTCTCGGTCTTGTCTTGGTTTTTAAAAGTCTCGGTCTTGTCTCGGTCTCGACCCTCAGAGGTGTTGGTCTTGTCCTGGTCGCGGGACCCTGTGGTCTCACACTGGTCTTGGTCTGGATTAGTGTGATCTTGACACTTGACACTAACGCTGATTTATTCTTCATCACAAAAACACTGAACATAAAATTGTGTGTTTTGGTTTTGGACGATTCTCCAATCAGAACACAGAAAGAGCGTCACATGACTCATTTGGGTTGGTGGTTCAAAGCTGAAATCCAGTGTGTTTAAAGGTAAAATGTTTCTGTCTGATCTGAACGTCTCTCACTAAACTCCAGAACCTGCTCCAGTCCTGACTCAGTGCTAGTGCAGCCTCTGCAGCTCAGGGAGGAACTCTGGAGGTTCTGAGCTTCACACGAGCCTGAACTGAAACAGACTCAGAAGAACCTGGACGAGTCTCTGTCCACAGGTTTAAACAGAAAGAAGAGAACACAGATCTATAGAGGGACAGATAATACTCCCTACAACTGTACAACTCACCCTTATGTCACAGATAATACTCCCTACAACTGTACAACTCACCCTTATGTCACAGATAATACTCCCTACAACTGTACAACTCACCCTTATGTCACAGATAATACTCCCTACAACTGTACAACTCACCCTTATGTCACAGATAATACTCCCTACAACTGTACAACTCACCCTTATGTCACAGATAATACTCCCTACAACTGTACAACTCACCCTTATGTCACAGATAATACTCCCTACAACTGTACAACTCATCCTTATGTCACAGATAATACTCCCTACAACTGTACAACTCACCCTTATGTCACAGATAATACTCCCTACAACTGTACAACTCACCTTATGTCACAGATAATACTCCCTACAACTGTACAACTCATCCTTATGTCACAGATAATACTCCCTACAACTGTACAACTCACTCTTATGTCACAGATAATACTCCCTACAACTGTACAACTCACCCTTATGTCACAGATAATACTCCCTACAACTGTACAACTCACCCTTATGTCACAGATAATACTCCCTACAACTGTACAACTCACCCTTATGGAACAGATAATACTCCCTACAACTGTACAACTCATCCTTATGTAACAGATAATACTCCCTACAACTGTACAACAATTAAAGCTACAACTAAACCAGGACTTTTTCCATTTGATTTTGACTTGTCTCTTGTTTTGTTTTTTTCTGGTTAATTGTATTATTTTCATCTTTGTTCTTTTCTTCTGTGACTCTGTGTCCGAGTCGTTTCTCTGTGGATCAGTAAAGTTTAAATCTGAGTCTGAGATTTTATTCGTGTGATTTATTTGTGAGCTTTATGTTTATTAGTTTTTTTTAGTTTTTATGTTTCTGTTTAAATTGTGGTATGGGGGGGGGGGGGGGTGTTAATTAATGTATTAAAAATGTTTCTGTTGCATGTGAAGCACTTTGTGCTACATTTCAAATATATGAAAAGTGCTATACAAATAAAGTTTGATTGATTGATTGATTGATTGATTTAGTTTGAGGTTTGTCTGAAAGAACAGAGGCCTCGCAGCGTTAGATAAAACTTTATTGTTTCTCAGGTGGACAAAACCGAACCAAACAGAACAGAGCGGAGAACAAAGAAGAACAAAGAAGAACAAAGAAGAACCAAAAAGAACTGAGAAGAACTGAGAAGAAAGCAGAGAAGAACAGCAGAGAGGAGAACAGCAGAGCGGAGAACAGCAGAGCAGAGTGTAATTGGCCGTGGGTTTATTTTCCGTAGAACTTCTTGTTGAGGAGGAAGATGAGGAGGTTCACGTTGATGGTCGCTCGGTCGAACAGCTTCATCACGGCCACCCCCTCGTACTGCAGCTGGAGCAGGTCCTGGACCAGAGCAGAACCGGGTCAGAACCAGGACTAAACTGGGACTAAACCAGGGCTAAACCAGGACTAAACCAGGATTAAATCGGATCTAAACCGGGACTAAACCAGGTCGAAACCAGGACTAAACCAGGACTAAACCGGGACTAAACCGGGACTAAACCAGGACTAAATCGGATCTAAACCAGAACTAAACTGGGACTAAACCAGGTCTAAACCAGGACTAAACCAGGGCTAAACTGAGACTAAACCAGGACTAAACCAGGACTAAACTGGGACTAAACCAGGACTAAACTGGGATTAACCGGGGCTAAACCAGGACTAAACCAGGATTAAATCGGATCTAAACCGGGACTAAACCAGGACTAAACCAGGACTAAACCGGGACTAAACCAGGACTAAACCGGGACTAAACCAGGACTAAATCGAATCTAAACC